TTCTGCCATAACAAAATACCACAAACTGGGTGGCTCATAGGAATGAACAGAAATGTTTTATCTCTCACTTCTGGCAGCTAGAAATGCAAATCAACATAATGGCTGGACCATTATGTTGATTAAGTCACTACAGGAAAATCCTTTCTTGTTTCTTCCAGTTTCTGGTAGCCCGAAGTGTTCTTTGGACTGCAGATGCCTCTAGATTTGGCTTTCTTTCCTCTATCTGTATGTCTTTCCCTTCTTTATAAGGACAGCACTCAGATTGAATTAGGATTCACTGTACTTCAGTATAAGGAGCTCTGGTGGCACAGTGCCTAAGGCATTTGACTGCTAACCAGAAGATTGGCGGTTCAAACCCACCAGCTGCTCCATGGAGGGAAGATGGATCAATCTCCTTCCATAGAGATTTACCACCTTGGAAACCCAGTTGGGGTCACTATGAGTCAGAATCTACTCAATGGCAGTGAGTTTGGTTTTTGAGTTTGTACTCCAGTATGATCTCAGGTTAACTTATAGTATCTGAATTCAAAGACCCTATTTCTAAGCAAGATCATGTTCACAGACATAAGGGGTTAGGACTTAAATATATCCTGTAGGGAAATGCAATTCAATACATAAAATTCCTCTACTATCATTTTAATAACAATCTAATGAGGAGCCTATATTTGAATTCCTCCAGGATGGAAATTATATTTTACTGTGCTCTAATCTTCATATTCCTTGAGCCTAGCAAAATCTCTGACACCTAATAGTCAATTGTTGTTGTTGTTGTTACGTGCCATTGAGTCATATCCAACTCATAGCGACCCTTCCTTGGGTTGCCAAGGCAGTATCACTACAGATGTAGATTGCCCAACCTTCCTTCCAAGGAGTGGCTGGTGGGTTTGAACCGTGAACCTTCTGGTTAGCAGTCAAGTGTCTTAGGCACTACGCCACCAGAGCTTCCAATAGTCAATTAGTGAAGTGAAATGAGTAAAATTGATTGAACTTCATTAGAACAATATAGGGATGACCTGACTTTGTACCTTTCTGAAGAAACCACTCATTTCTTCTTTAAGAGTTGTTTAGTACTTTTATGTACAAATTTAAATTCTGTTAGTAATTTATAACTGGCTAGTTTCTAAAGTTATAGTCTTTAAAACTATATCATCTTAATGTACAACACAAAAAAAAATAAATACAAATTAATAATAGTAAACATTCAAGAATCCCATGGTCCTGGGAGCAGGTAGGTGGACCTGTGGGCTCAGGACCATGGTCACAGGGGACATCAAGCTCAATTAGCATAGCTTGTTGTTGTTGTTGTTGTTGTTATGTGCCATCGGGTCAGACCCAACTCACAGAGACCCCTCCTTGGGTTGCCGAGCAGTATCACTACAGAAGTAAATTGCCCAACCTACATTTCGAGGAGCGGCTGGTGGGTTGGAACTGCCAGCCTGCTGGTTAGCAGTCAAGTGCCTTAGGCACTATGCTACCAGAGCTCCCAATTGGCATAGCATACTACACAAAAACATTGTTCCACATCCTACTTTGTCGAGTAACCACTGGGATCTTGTTATGTTGTTATGTGCCGTTGAGTCAGTCCCGACTCATAGTGACCCCTCCTTGGGTTTCCGAGGCTGTATAACTAGGGAAGTAGATTGCCCAACCTTCCTTCCTAGGAATGGCTGGTGGGTATGAACCGCCAGCCTTCTGATTAGCAGTCAAGTGCCTTAAGCACTATGCTACCAGAGCTCCTACTGGGATCTTAAAAGCTTGAAAGTGGCCATCTAGATGCAACGATGGGTCTCTCCTCATCCAGAGCAAAGAAGAATGAAGAAAAACCAAAGATATGTCGAAACAATTAGTCCAAGGGACTAGTACACTATGAGATCCTCAGCCTATACAACTATGAGACCAGAAGAACCAGATGATGCCTGGCTACCACTGTCAACCACGTGGAGGAGGATCTATGTAGGAGATCCTGGATAGAGAGGGAGAATAATGTGGATCAAAACTTAAAATCATTAAAAATAATAGTAATAAAGGGACCAGTTTGCTGGTCTTGTGGAGCCTGGTGGAATCCCTGAGACTATGGTCCCTAGCTGCCCTCAGATCTGGAATTGAGCCCACTGTCCAAACAAAGACAAGCATATGAACTGAACATTTCCATTGGGTAGATACTCTCCTTGGAGAGATTAATCATGGGAGAACCGAAGGGCTGTGTATGCACAGGGAGACAGCTCGGGCGGCAGGAGTGCATGGGAGGGAAGGACACAGGGAAGAAGTGGTTATGGAGAGGAAGTAGAAGGAGAACTGTTGCATTGTGGGAGATTACAGAGATTACAGTCAATGTCATGAGACAAAGTATATGTGAACTGCTGTATGGAATATGGATTTGCTGTGTAAACTTTCACCCAAATCACAATAAAATTTAAAAAAAAAAAAAGAAAGAATCCCAAGTTCCTTACAGTCCTAGGAATACTAAACAATATTCCATCTCTAATGAAATTACTTTGGCAATCATTTCTTATTTAAGAGCTTTATTCTGGAGATAAGAGGAATAGGAGAGGAAGGTAATTGTGAACTGTTTTGGCAGATTTAAACCTGTTCTCAGTTACGAAAAAGTACAAACTATTGAGTCTTCAATAAAACATAAAAATGCAGACTATTCCAGTTAGTATATTTGCATCCTGGAAGGATGGATGAAGCTTGAATGTCCATTTTTAGAACTTTTTAATCACTCCAAATTGGAACTCCAAACTTCTTAGCCATTACCCCCTCTGATTCTTCTAACACCATCCCCAATCTTATGCAACCACTAATCTGCTTTCTGTCTCCATAGATTTGCCTCTTCTCAACATTTCGTATACATGGACTCATACAAAATGTAGTCCTTTATGACTGGCTTCTTTCAATGAACATAATGGTTTATTGTGTTACGTATCAGTTCCTTTCTTCTTATGGCTGAATATGTTATTTATCCATTCATCAGTTGATGGGCATTTGGATTGTTTCTACTTTTTGGCTATTTTGCATAATGCTGCTATGAACATTCATGTACAAGTTTTTGTGTAGACAAATGTTTTCATTTCTCTTGGATATAAGGTATGCATCATTTAACATCCTTCTGGGCAACGTTTGCCTGCATACATGTCTGTGGTCGCATAAGGTTATAGACTTCAGAACTCCCCATCAGAGCATGCAACACAGTGCACAGCGATCAGATTTATCTCTCACTCACTCTCCAGATCCCTCCTCCCTGGGGCAGCAGGGGGAGAGGCTTCCAGTGGCTAACTACAGCTGCCTGTCTTACCATGTTCACCTTGGGTAGGGACCTCGGAGACACCAGACACCGGCAGAACTGCTGAGCAGGATACCTCACTCACTAAGACTGAGTGAGCCCAGGCACCCTGAGTGTGACAACCGGCCCAAGGCTGCAGCTCATTCTGTGGTGTCAGCTGCCTAATATACAGGCTGCCTGACATCCCGGCTATGATAGTGGTGGGAGGAGGAACAGGAAAGGCAGGCAGAGGAGGAGGCTATGGCAGAAGAGGGGTGAGCAAGGCTGAAAGAGTCTAAAGCCCATGAGAGGGGCAGGGAAGGCAGCCAGGGAGGAAGGAAGGGAAGTGAACTGGCAGCAAGGCAGGCCAGCCCACTGGCTGGACAAGGGCACGCCACAAAAGGGGGTGCTGGGCACAGCTTTCAGAGACTAGCTGGCAGCCATGCAGGACTCAGGACTGGCAGTGGTGAAGCCAAAGTTTTCCACACAATCCCTTACTACAGATGCAGCAGCACGGGTGTAAGCTTCACCAATGACCATCCTGAATGCTGCTCTCTTGTCTATGTAATATGGTGTTCACACAACATCCAAATCACATAACATCCTATTTCACAGAGCGTATCTTAGACATAAAGCAATGTGTACCTGTGTGCTGAGGAAGGGAGTTGTTGGATCATAATGTTTAAGGAGCTACCAGACTGTTTTCAACATGATTGCACCACTTTACATTCCCACCAGTGGCATATGAGGATTCTACTTTCTCCATACCCTTACCAACACTTGTTATTTATTATCTGTCTTTTATATTATAATCATCCTAAAAACCAAAAAAAAAAAAAAGACCCAAACCCACTGCCATCAAGTCAATTCCAATTCATAGCGACCCCCATTGGGTTTCCAAGGCTATAAATCTTTATGGAAGTAGATTGCCCCATCTTCCTTCTGTGGAACAGCTGGTGGGCTTGAACGACTAGCTTCCTGGTTAGTAGCCAAATGGCACTATGGTAGTCATCCTGTTGTTGTGTTGTTATTTGCCCTCAAGTTGGACCCAACTCATAGCGACCCCTCCTTGGGTTTCCAAGGCAGTGTCACTATGGAAGTAGATTGCCCCATCTTCCTTCTGAGGAATGGCTGGTGGGTTTGAACCACCAGCCTTCTGGTTAGCAGTCAAGTGCCTTAGGCACTATGCTATCAGAGCTCCCTGTAGTCATCCTAGTGGGTATAAAATAGAATGTCATTGTGATTTTGATTTTATTTGCATTTCTCTCATGACTAATGATGTTGAGTACATTTTCATGTGCTCTTATTGACCACTTGTATATCTTCTTTGGAGAAATGTCTACTCAAGTCCTGTGCCATTTTCAAATTGGGCTGTTTGTCTTTTTATTATTGAGTTATTATTAATGAGTTATAATAGTTCTTTATATATTCTAGACACAAATGCCTTTCAAATATATGCAAACTTTTATCCTATTTGTGGCTTGTCTTTCTCTTTATTTTTTAATATCATCGTTAGTATAATAACAAAAGTTATTCACTTCATAATGCCCACTTTATCTACTTTTTTCTTTTGTTGCTTATGATTTTGGTGTCATATATAAGAAAACATTGCCTAATTCATTTGTGAAGATTTACACCTGTGTTTTCTTCTAAGCATTTTATAGTTTTAGCTCTAACAATTAAATCCTTGATCCATTTTGTATTATTTTTCACATATGGTATTCTTTTATTTTTTAAGTGTTGTGATCTTGGCTATCATGCAAGTCTGAACAGAGCCTTAAGAACATATCTCTCTGCGGAGTATAACCTTGAAACTTCTAGACATGAAGGCTTAGACATTATTGAGAATGCAGTGGACAACTTAGAACCCCGGAGTGATAAGCAGAGATTCATGGAGATGTACCCTGCTGCATTTTGCCCACCAATGAAGTTTGAGTTTCAGTCACACATGGGTGATGAGGTCAGTACTTGATTATTTTAAAGCTTACATATTGTCTCTTCACTTACATTTTCCCCATTTGTTGTAACTCACCAGCCTTAAGAATTCACAGGTGTTTCCTCTTGCTGCCCCTTAAGATCAGTCACTACACCTTTTAAAGCAAGAGTCAAACTATCAAATGCCTAAATAGGCCAAGGAAATAATGGTGTAAACTGGCCTGGATGTAAGTACTGAACTGACCAGGACTAGTTTTTCATCTCCACACTTTGGAATTCAAATTAAAAAACAAAACACTTTACTGATCCAATAGAATCTATATGAAGCCTCCTTGTCATCTTGATTTAATGGTTCAAACCCACCAGCCACTCCTCAGAAGGAAGATCTACTTCCATAGAGATACCGCCTCAGAAACCCAAGGAGGGTTGCTATAAGTTAGATCGACTCAACGGCAGTGAGTTTGATTTTTTTGTATACAGAAAAGTAGGAGCACTGGTGGTGCAGTGGTTAAAACATTCAGCTGCTAACCGAACAGTTGGTGGTTCAATCCCACCAATCTTTTTGCAGGACAAAGATAAAACAGTCTGCTTCCTTAAATATTTATAGCCTTGGAAACCCTATGGGGCAGTTCTGCTCTGTCCTGTAGGGTCAATATGGGTTGGAATCAGCTCAATGGCGGTGGGTTTTGGTTTATACAGAAAAATCATTTTAAGTAGCAGGAAAAATGGAGAGAGAGAAAAAAATGCAAAAATCATCATTTTAAGACTGAAGTTGCCTCCAAACCGATAAAATGAGCATTAGAGATGATATATTATGTCTTATATTCTTTATATTAATTTAGCTTTTTATCCTATTTACAAAAAATGAGATCTGGTTAAGGTAATTATGAGTTACAGTTGTTTATATTATTGTCAGTGGAAGGAGAAAACAAGAACCAATTAATGGAGCGTGCTATCTAGCACTTGGTGTCCAGCTGTGCAACACAATACTCATAGATAAAAACAATTTTAGCTTATGGTGGTGACATTCTCTTTTTAAAATAGATGCAATTATAATGCCTTGGCAGATTTCTTTAATGTCATAATTGCCTCTGAAAATACCCAGTGTTAAAACATGTAAGATATATCAAAAAGAAAAAAAACACCAAACCCACTGCCGTTGGGTCAATTCCAACTCATAGCTACCCCCGTTGGCTTTCTAAGGTGATAAATCTTTAGGAAAGTAGATTGCCTCATCTTCCTTACGCGGGTGGTGAGTTTGAACTGCAACCTTCTGGTTAGAAGTCAAATGGCTCAGGTACTGCACCACCAGCATTCCACAAGGTATATATATACTTCAGTATTTCTCATATAATCCTATGTTTGCTGATTTGACAGTATGAATTACATGATTGGAAAAGAGAAGCAAACTTTATGCCAATAGTACGTGAATTTTGACAAGCAGGATGACTGGCTTATTCCACCCAGGATTATCTTTTGAAAACCAAACCATTGTTATGCTTTGATTTTTCAGTTGTTGGATGTGTTACACATGGAATGTTAAAATACTTCACACAAATGTTCATAGCTTTTATTCATTTATTGTTATTATTATTCTTTAAACAAAGTGAGTCTGTTGCCCCTTTTTATGACTGGTTCGACCAATGAGCAGTAATCTCTGTGGTACTTTGGAAACTCCATGAAAGGCCTGCCTCTCAGCTGAGAACATTTTTATGGTAAAGGACATAATGCAATGTTACTATAATGCTTTAATTTTGAGCTTATTCATAAATGAGATTACAACCAAAATATCTTTCCGCCAAAGCCTAAGACGAGTGGCCTCATCAAGTTCAAGGCGAATCATGTAATTTGATTGAAATTGGTAAGAGGAATCAATCATTTTTATCAACCACTAATAGTGGTTGAAAAAAAACAAAAATAATCATTCACATTTTCTGAGCTCTTACTGTGTACCAGGCACATTTCTAAGTGCTTTATGTACATTACCTTATTTAATCCCTACAAAAAAACCTGTGGTGGAGGGATTTTCTTATCCCCATCTTACAGATGAGAAAACCCACACCTCAATCTACTGCCTTCCTTACACACACTTGCATGTCACATTTGAATTGTCCTTCATATTCTGCCCTGTGACCTGTATTCATAAGGAATTTCCATACATGTGACTTTTGCATCAGAGCTCATCAGTCTCCAGGAACTGTCCTGTTCTTAGAGGGGTGCTTCCTGCAGCTGCTTTCTTTCCAGTCACATCCAGGCCAAGCAGCTGCATTCTGCTCTTGCCGCTTACGTAGCAGGTCCATCCATATTTAAAACTGAATTTTTGAGGCAGTTGTTAAAAGTAAATATGTAATTGGAATCTTGAAGGGATCAGCATGATTCATCTGGCGTTGAAATAGAAGAGAGTCTCTGGAGGCTGGCTTGACTGAGGCCTGTTGTAACTGCAGATTTTTATTTCCACATCAGGTCTGTCAGGTCAGCGCTCAGCAGCCCGTCCAGGCGGAGCTCATGCTCAGGTACCAGCAGCTGCAGTCACGACTGGCCACACTCAAAATCGAGAACGAAGAGGTGAGTATGCTTTCTACCCCATAAGTAATCTGAATTTCAGTGTAAGTGGAAAGTAATTTTCACATGATGTTTGCAGTCTCTTCATCATGCTATATCACAGGCATTTTCAGGTAAATCAAGGTGCCTATAAATACTCTTTGTAGAGGATAAATGTAAAAATTCTATGCTATACAATAGACTAATACTTTACCAGAGATTTGCTACATACACATCTAAACAAACAAACAAAAACATCAGCCCCTTTGCCCTTGAGTCAATTCCAACTCGAAGGCAACCCTATATGTTACAGAGTAGAACTGTTCCATAGATGTCTTAGTTACTTAATGCTGCTATAAAAGAAATACCATAAATGGGTGGCTTTCACAAACAGAAACTTACTCTCTCATGGTTTAGGAGGCTAGAAGTCTAAATTTGAGTGACAGCTCTAATCCAAGACTTTCTCTGTCTGTTCTGGGGAAAGGTCCTTGTCTCCTTTCAATATCTGTAGCCATGGCATTCCTTGGAGATCTCCATGTATCCTGCCATCAATCTTCCCCTGGGTCTAGGGGATTCTTAGTGCAGGGACCCCCAGGTCCAAAGGATATACTCCACTCCCAGCTTTTCTTTCTTTGTGTCTAACTCCTTTCTCTATTTATCTCTTATAAAATAAAAGGTAGGACTTGATTAAGGGTGTGACTTGAGTCATGCCTCTTGTAAGATTGTGTCTCATGATATAGCTCACCCTAATTCTGCCTCATTAACATATAGAGGTTAAGATTTACAATATATAAAATGGAGGATCATTACATCAGATCACAAAATGGGAGGACAGCCACGCAATGCTGGGAATCATGGCCTAACCTCTTTGAAACATATTTGGGGGGATACAGTTCAATCCATGACAGTAGAATTTTCTTGGCTGAAATCTTTATGGAAGCAAATTGCCAGGCCTTTCTTCTCTAACAACACGACTTTATTCTTAAATTGTAATTCATACTGAAAATAGTTTCCATGGATTATCAAAATAAATATATGTGTCCAAGAATATGAAATACATCATGCACAGGAACTTTTGACTAACATGTTAATTTAATCCTAAATCTTAAAATTAGTACTTTTGTCTTAGTGTTTTTCTATTTTCTGAATTTTTGGTAATGAACATGACATTTCTGATCTAATTATTATAAAACTTACATATTAAAATCATACTTGAATGAGAATAGAAAAATGTTTATTTGCTGACATTAGTGCATTTAAATGGATATAACATACAGTGTGAATTATTACGATATGTTGAGCCAAAAAGCAATAAATAATTCAGCTGCCTGTTTCTGAAATTAATTTAATTGGATCCATATTCTACTAAAATAAAATTATGAACCACAGATGTTTTTTGTATTAGCCAGGGCTCTTATTTGTAATTTGTAGAAACCCAAGTCAAAGCTAACATATAGGTCAGTGCTTGCCGTGGCCTCAGACAAGATTGGATCTGTTTTCAGATGATACTATCAGGACTCTTTCTTCCTTCATTACTTTACTGTCATTGTATATATTGGTGGAATTTTATTTTTCCCTCATAATGGAGGTAGATCCAGGGCTACATGTTCCCTACGGATTGCCATCACAGAAAGAAAGGCACACCCATTCCTCGTGTCCTTATCTCTTAAAGAAGATACTTCATTGACCTGGCTTATGTCATGCCTACTTCTGAGCCAACCATTATATCCAAGAAATAAGATTCTCTCATTGGCCAGCTCGGCTATTTTGTCCACTCATATAACTCTTTGTATTGCTGCTGTTGTTGTTAGGTGCTGCCAAGTCAGTTCTGACTCATAGCAACCCTATGTACATCAGAACAAAACACTGCCTGGTCCTGCACCATTCTCACAGTCCTTTCTGTTTGAGCCCATTTTTGAAGCCACTGTGTCAATCCATCTTGTTGAGGGTCTTCCTCTTTATTGCTGACCCTCTGTTCTACCAAGCATGATGTCTTTTTCTTGAGACTAGTCCCTCCTGGTAAGGTCCAAAGTGAGTGAGACCAAGTCTTGCCATTCTTGTATCTAAGTAGCATTCTGTCTATACTTCTTCCAAGACAGATGAAGGAGCCCTGGTAGTACACTAATTTAGCACTCAGCTGCTAACCAGAAGATTGGTGGTTCAGACCCACTAGCCACTCAATGAAAGAAAAATAAGGCAGTCTACTGTGACCATAAAGGTTACAGCCTTGGAAACCCTATGGGGCAGTTTGCTCTGTCCTGTTGGTTCACTGTGAGTTGGAATTGACTCAAGAGCAATGGGTTTTGTTTTGAGGAATACTGCTGGTGTAGTGGTTAAGTGCTCAGCTGCTAACTGAGAGGTTGGTGGTTCAAACTCACCAACCACTCCACAGGAGAAGGATGTGGCAGTCTGCTTCCATAAAGCTTATAGTCTTCAAAATCCTATTTTATTTTATTTTCATCCCACTGGCATGTTTTGGGCTATGTGGATATGTGTTTGTTTCTGTTAAGAATGAGTGATGTGTTTCTAGATGAATATAGTTTAGTTAAAACTCATTGTAGCTTTCTGGCCTCCATTTTTCCTGGAAGAACCAAATCACCCCTTATTCAAACTTACACATTTAAGTTGAAACCAGCATGATTAAGACTCGAATCTCTATGTAAACTCCTGCAAGTGAGCCTTCCAAAAGAAAGCCATTACTTGAGGTAATGTTTTAGAGCTTAGGGTTTCGGTTAGGCATCACAAAAAAAACTCGCCTAATTCAGTTTGCTCAATACTATTAGACCTACAGTTTGTATTTCTAGTGATTTCCAGGTTGTTTTTTTTTTTTTTTTCATGTATATCCTCCTGCTGTTTTATTTGGAAAACATTCTCTAAACACTAAGAAAATAGTGTTTTATATACCAAGTCATAACTGGCAGCCCGCAGACCTGTTTTGTTTGGCTCTCACGGGGTTGGCCTGTTAAAAGTGAAAGGACTGGCAATCTTGGGCCTGCATTTCTTCATGAAGTGAAAAGCTTGGGCTTTTGAGTTCTACTTTGTCATAGTTACTTTACTCCTGATTTTCTTATATTGTACATTGTTTTTATTAGTTGCCCTTGAGTCGATTCTGACTCATGGAGACCTAAACCAAACCCCAAACTCACTGCCATTGTGTCAATTCCAACTCACAGCAACCCTATAGGACAGAATAGAGTTTCAAGGCTGTAAATATTTACAGAATCAGAGTGTGTCATCTTTCTCCCATGGAGCGGCTGGTGGGATCAAACCACTGACCTTTTGGTTAGCAGCCTATTGCTTTAACCACTATACCACCAGAACTCCTTTCATGGAGACCTAGCTGTATTTATTTGTGTTACCTGCTTGGCCTCTGAAGGCCTTTGAGTGTATGACCCTTAAAGTATGACCCTCTGGACGTAACATGGAGGAGCATTGTCCTTACAAACTGATAGAAGCAGGCCATGCTTTTTAACGGTAATTAAAAAGAAAAAAAAAAACAGAAGCAAATGACTTGGATTGGCCTGAAGTTTCTTGTGAATATGACTGGTGGTTTATTGTATGTTAGACATGAAACAAAACTCACTGTAGTAAAATGGGATTCCCAAAGGAAATAAGATTTAAATTGGATTTTTGACCATCAGTAGATTTTCATAGGTGGGCTGGTAAGTGGGGGAGACCCTACAATACATTTCAAGATGTCCAGGGAGTAAGCATGTTGGTCATCACTCAGATTCTCCTTGGGAAGGAGCCAAGGTGAAGCTGAAGTCATATTGTGAAAAGCCTTCATAGCCAAGTTAAGGTATTTTGATCCTGTGGTTCAGTTCAGTAATAAATATTAGTTGAGTACCTTTCATATTCCAGATATTGTGCTAGGTATGGAAAGTACAAAGATGAATTAAGCACAATTAGCATCTGTCTGATGTGAGAGGAAGAACACAATTTATGTAATGTGAAAAATAAAGGTAATTTGGCAACATAGCTATTATTACTGATTTGGTCCCTGTTTAGCACTTACTATAAATAAGAAACTTGCCCCCTGTTCTACAAATATGAGCCCGGATAGAAATTTGACATATTAATATCAAACCAACATGCAGTCACTCCTCATTATTTGCAGATTCCGTATTTTCAGCTCTTTGCCTACTCAGTGATTTTTTTTTAAAAAAAATAATATTTACTTGTATTTTTGGTGAAAGTTTACACAGAAAAGTAAGTGTTCATTTAACAATTTCTACCCAAATTATTCAGTAACATTGGTTGCATTTTTCACAGTGTGTCAACATTCATTGTTTCCCTTCTGGTTGTTTTGTCTACTTATTAAAATTTATTTGTAACCTCAAAATCGATACTCAATGCACTACACATGTGCAGAGTGGTAGAAAATTTGTCCCTAATGTGCACATTCCCAGTTGAGGTTGAACAAGGCAATGCTCTGGCTTCTTGTTTCAGCTCTCATCATGTATTGTAAACAAGTTTGTGTGTGTGTGTGTGTGTGCGTGCACGTAGTCTATTTAGTGCCACATTTTTCACATTTTTGTGGTGGTTCTTGGTGATTTTGCTATTTGAAGTTGCCCCCCATGCATCATGCTAAAGTGCTGGCTAGTGTTTCTAAGTATGAGAACCCTGTAAGGTGTTTTACAGAGAAAATGTGTGTATTTCGTAAGCTTGGAATGCTGTTGGGTATGAGTTCAATGTTAATGAATCAACAATATTAAATAAGGTATCTACATAGGTGTATTCACATTGTAATAAGTCATCAAGCTGTGTCATCATTTAGAATCTGTGCATTTTTCTATAACTAATTATACTTCAAGGATTTTGATAGGTGGTGCAGTGGTTAAAGCATTTGACTGCTAATCAAAATGCCAGTAGTTTGAACCCACCAGCCACTATGCAGGAGAAAGATGAGGCACTCTGCTTCTGTAGAGATTTACAGCCTTGGAAACCCTATGGGACAGTTCTGCTCTGTCCTATGGGGTTAATGTATGTCAGAATCAACTGTGTGGCTGGGTTTGGATTTTTGT